AAACTGATTCCTTTATCATTATATAATGGCCTTCCTTATCTTATTTTTTTACTTTCCTTGATGTGAAGTCTATTTTATCTGATATTAATATAGCTACACCTGCTTGTTTTGGTATCCATTTGCATGAAAATCTTTTTCTATCCCTTTACTTTCAGTCAGTGTGTGTCCTTATAGGTGAAATGAAATTCTTTTAGGTGGCATATTTTTGGTTCTTGTTTTATAATCCATTCAGCCACTCTGTGTCTTCTCATTGGGGAATTTAATCCATTAACATGTAGAGTTATTATTGATATACAGGGGCTGTCACTGCCATTTTGTTACATTTTTTCCTGGTTAATTTGTAGACCCTTTTTTCCTCTTTTCAGGTCTTACTGTCTTCCATTGTGATTAATGGTTTTCTCTAGTAGTATATTTTGATTTCTTGCCATTTATTTTTAGTATGTCTATTATGGGTTTTTGTGTCGTGGTTACCATGAGGCTTACAAAAAACGTATTATAGTTATAACATTATTTAAAACTAATAACAACTCTACTTTGATTGCTAAGCAAAAGGAAAAAAAAAACAAAGCCAACTCTACACTTTGACATCATTACCCCATGTTTTGACATTTTGTTATTTCAAGTTACACCTTTTAATATTGTGTATATCTTATATGGTTGTTGAATTTGTTATTATCTTATTGGGTTTGCCTTTTAATCTTCACAGTAAGGATGTAAGTGGTTAATTCACCACCCTTACAACATTGGATTATTCTGAGATTGTTGATGTACTTATTTTACTAGTGAGTTTTGTACCTTCGCATGTTTTTTTTGTTACACTTTAGCAACATCTTCTTTCAGCTTGAAGAACTCCCTTTAGCTTTTCTTGTAAGGCACTTCTGGTGTTGATGAATTCCCTTCCTTTTGTTTGTGTGGGAAAGACTGTTCTTCCTTCATATTTGAAAGTTAGTTCTGCTGGATACAGAATTCTTGGTTGACAGTCTTTTCCCTTCAGCAGTTTGAATATATCATCCCATTATTTTCTAGCCTGTAGAAGTCCACAGATACAAATATAGGGGTTTCACTGAATGTTATGTGTTTCTTTTCTCTTGCTGCTTTCAGTATTCTCTCATCTTTGGTTTTTGATAATTTGATTATGATGTACCTTAGAGTGTTTCTCTTTGGATTGAATTTGATTGGTGACCTCTGGGCTTTCCATACCTGGATGCTCCCATCTTCTCCATACTTGGGAAATTTTCAGTCATTATCTACTTAAATATGCTTTCTAGGTCTCTTCCTTTTTTGTTTCCTTTAGGTATGCCAATTATAGGAGGTTATTTTACTTGAGAGAGTCCCATAATTGCTGCAATTCTGTTTCATTTCTTCTTAATCTTTTTGTTTGTTTGTTTGTTTCTTTGATTGAATAATTTCATATGTTCTATCTTCTAGCTCACTGATTCTTTCCTCTGATTAAGTCTGCTCTTGGACTTTCTATGAAGTTTTTCAGTTCAGACAATGTATTTTTTATTTCTAGAATTTCTATTTGTTTTTTTTTGTTTGTTTGTTTGTTTTTTCCTTTTTGTCTTTTTTCGTGTCTGGCAACGTACCGCAACCCTCAGTGTCGTGCCCGTACCAGACCGGGACCGGCAACGGGATCGCAACCCTCGGTGCTGTGCCCGCCCCTTGCTCAGCTAGTGAGCGGGAACCGGTCTGTATGTGGGATCCGAACCCTCAGCGGGAGCGCCGCCGTGTCCCCAAGCGGCGCACTGTGGCAGTGCGCCACCGGGCTGGCCTGTTTTTGTTTTTTTAATTGATTCTGTTTCTTTGTCGTGTTTCTTGTTGTGCTTCTGGATTGTTTTTCAAATACTTAATTTTCTATCTGTATTTTCTTGTGACTCTCTGAACATCTTTAAGAGGATTATTCTGAATTCTCTGTCAGATATTTCATAAATCTGCTGTTCTTCTGGGTCAGTGTCTGGCACTTGCTGTGTCCCCAAGCGGTGCACTGTGGCAGTGCGCCACCGGGCTGGCCTGTTTTTGTTTTTTTAATTGATTCTGTTTCTTTGTCGTGTTTCTTGTTGTGCTTCTGGATTGTTTTTCAAATACTTAATTTTCTATCTGTATTTTCTTGTGACTCTCTGAACATCTTTAAGAGGATTATTCTGAATTCTCTGTCAGATATTTCATAAATCTGCTGTTCTTCTGGGTCAGTGTCTGGCACTTTGTTGGTTTCCTTTGGTGGTGTCATATTTCTCTGTTCTATTTGGTCTTTGTGTCTTTAAATTGCTGCCTAGGCATTTGAGGAGACAACTACCTCTTCCAGGTTTTATAGGTGTTCTTTGGTGGTAGACTTTTCCTGCTCAGTGTTAGAACTTTGTCTCTGTTCTGTGCTTTTTTTCTGTTCTGTAGTGAATTAGTAGCATCTGTAGTGGATTAAAGCTCTGTGTGCTGGTAGCTGCTTAAAACCACCGCTTAAAAACTACACTGGAACTAATTTGCTGTCTTGCAGTTAATTCCTGGATTGGGAGAAACCTCTCACAGAGATGGGAACTTGAACTCAGATAAATTGCTGCCTTAGTGTTGTTTCTCAGACTGGTAGAAACTTTTTGTGCAGACCTGATTTTAAATGTCATCCTTTTAGTCACTTCCAGGTCATGTGGGGTCACCACAAATGCCACTGGGTTGTGTGTAAATTCTGGCTCAGGACTGAGTCTTCCCTGCAAACCGTGCCTCCTGCAGTTCTGTAGCACTGACTAGTCTACACTATGTGGCACCCTTGCCAATTAGAAGGCAGATCAGCTTCCTACACTGCTTCCCAATGTAACCACAGGTGGAGGAGCACACACGCACACCCACTCCCCCACAAGGCAAATGTTTCCCATGGGGCAGGTCCTGCACAAGTCCCCCCAAGAAGTCTCACTGACATCTGGGTGATTCTTTCCTTCTGTTGTCTGTGGTCCATCCCTCCTATGTGGGTGCAGGGGAAGCTTACAAGCAGCTTGGCTGGCCCGGAAAATGGGATCGTGTACTCCAAAGTGATTTTTTTTTTCCTTTTTTGCCAGCAGTCCTGGCACCCTTTTCCCCTTCAAATTCCAGGTAGCTTCATGCAAAGGGAGCTGCTGTGACTTAGCCATCTTTAGGTAGCTGCTCTGTGTGCTGGTAGCTGCTCCGTGAATGGCAGGGTCTGGGTCTGATCTGGGTAATCCCTCTTCTCACTTGTCACAGCTTTCCATACCTTCAGAGGGTCTCTCCTCCTCTTTCCCCAACTTCCAGTGATTATAGGATAGCAGTTTTTGTGTCTTAAAAATTGTAAGCTGGTGGTTGTAGGAGGGAGTGATGCTGGGATCATTTATTCCACTGTCTTTGTCTATTGCCAATTTTTAAAATAAGTTGGCTCACTAACATCTCCTAATGATAACAAATCTGCTTTTTTCTTCTTTTTTTTTTTTTAGTTTCATTATGAACTCATGGCTTTAATTATATTTGATGTCTTCCAACCCACTGCAGTAACTACTTATTAATGCTTGGATTGTTCTGTCTTTGTCCCATGGGGTCATCCACAACTTGGCTCTTGAATGCCTTTGACATGATTCTAGTGGTATTTGATAATTTCCTTGCTTTCTGGTATGACAAGATATTACAGGCTCATCTTGTATGTGAGATCTGCAATCAGCCATTTCTCCCAGTGTTTTGATTCTTTTCTATAGGAAATGGTATTTCAAGACCATAATTTGGGTACTGGGGGTGCTAATTTTTACTGGGTTGATTATTGTTTCTAGACCTCTTCAGTGGAGACATCTTGTACTTACTGGATTTTGACTGAACCTCTTACTCTTACATATGAGTATGTATCTGCTTGCAAGACTCCCAGTTATCAATGACACTGAAAAAAGTGATAGATTATTACATAATGACTCATTTGCTTTATCTCAGGAAAGGTCTTTAAGCCAGAGAATGACATGAGTAGCTCTATATTAAAGAAGGGTAACTTATTTGGTGCTCAGGTAGAGAAACATGGATTGGAACTGGGTAAGTTGACGGAAGATAAATTAATCTAGAGTCTATTGCTGTAGTTCTGAAAGACAACACGTCCTGCACCCGTATGGTGGCAATTAGAATGGAGAAGAGGTAAAAGCATTTGAGAAATATTACAGGTGATGCATCTCTAAGACTTGGTGACTGGATCTGGCAGGATAAAGAAGATTGGGAAGGTGAAGATAAATTCTAGGACACCATTCAAGAGTGATTATATTTAGTGATACAGAGGAGCAGCACATGCTGGGGAAGATGGGAGAGGGAAAATGAGTAGTTTGATTATCAAAGCAGTAAGAGTAGGGGAGGTCGAGGAATAGTGAATTTAGGGTCTTCATCATCAAGTCCCAGTTCATTAGTTTGGCATTTAAAGACATTCACTCCAGCCTCAATTATCTTTCCAGTATTTTTCAATACCTAACAGATTCCCTGATTCAGTCAGACCTCTCTCCTTACTTCTCAGCTCTGTACCTCTGCATAGGTGATGCATGACTTTGTGCCCCATTGGTGGGTGTGTACATTCCCCTCCTCTGCTAATTAGGATCTGTTAAGAATCACCTGAAGCTACCTCTGAAATTCTCTACCGTGTGTTTCCTGTATTTTAGTTATATATGGCTTTATATTCTTCTCTTATATTTGTCTTGGTTACTCAACAAAGTTGGGCAATTCCGCAGGTCAGGTAAGGGATCCATTATGTCTGTTTTAAATCTTTTTTAGGATTGGGCTGATTTATAGTAGAGAGTCAACATTTATTGGCCTGTCAGGGAAAGAGGTCTTTTGTTGATATGAGCTATTGACTTTTTACTCTTTTTAGCCTCTAATGAACTAGCTTTTTGTGGTGTTTTATTTAAAAGCAGTTTCTATTAGCAAATACTTCTAGAATGTTTCCACTTGCGATCCTTAAATTATTTTCATCAAAATGGAGCTGATATAGTTCAAAAGATATATGTAAACTCTGCAAAAAGGTCCTAATGTCTATTATTTTACAGGCTTCTTTCATCTCATAGTGTTTTACCCCAATCATATGTCCACACAAGTGCTTCTCTTGACATTTCTCGAAAATGGGAGAAGAAGAATAGAATTGTTTATCCTCCACAACTGCCTGGAGAACCTCGGAGACCAGCAGTAAGTTTATGGGTAGAGCTAGTAGTCTTGATTTTGATAAAATGCTCTTACTTGGTTAGCAGTGCAGTTAGCAATGATTTTTATTTCATGTTAAGAAAAGAAAAATTATACAATTTGCATGATACTTTAAGTGAAACAGAAAATGTAATAGATTTATCTCTTGAGTAGTTTAAAAGAGGGCCAGATAATAGTTTGAGACTTACTGATTTTTGACTCCAAGAGGCTTGCTGATGAATTCTTGGTAATGGAGCACAAGGAATTGGCAAGAAGGACTTAAACCATTGTCCAGTGTTTAAATTATATACATGATTTTCCAATGTTGTCTATTTAAATATAGACGCACTGGGCTTTTTGTTTTTGTTTTCCTTTTTGTAATTCACAAACCTTTGAACCTAAGATCTGAATTTAATCATTAGATTCCTACCAGAGATTTATCTTATCTATAGCTGCTCAGAATTCTTTTACCCTCACCAAACTGCTATAGATTGCTCTAGTCTGAAATATAGAACTAACTTTTAGCTTAATGTGAATTGACTGTGGGATACATACACATCTGTTAAAGAGTTTAATAGCATAAACAAGATGGGAACATTGAATCCTTAAGAAAATTCACTGTTATGAGCATTTTAGAAGTAGAATTACTGTGTTAATTATAAATTATTCAGTTCAGGCCTTTGGATTCAAGGCTACTGGATAATTAATCTCATCTAATAAGGACAATATCTTTTGCTTAGTTTTTATATGAACTTCAAAACATGCATTTCATTAAGAAAAGATTCAGTTGCTGTCTAAGTATTGTTCTGAATTAGTAGTTTTATGTCTTCTTTTTTTCTGATTTGGGAAAGTTAATTCATTGGCTTAAAGAGCTCCCACCAGAATAATAAATAAGAGGAAAAAGAGTTTAAGAACTATGTTAATAGTTTAAACAAATAACTTTTTAACTTTCATATTTTATTATGACATCGGAATTTGATAGATTTGTTACAGAATCTGGCCTATTAAGTATTGACTCCATTTTATAATGAGCCAAAATTTAGAAGAAGTTACACATTTGCATAAATATAATAAATAAAATATTATTTCTATATTAGTGAGCTTTCTTCTTACCCGATCTCTTTGAACTTAGATATTAGTTGGAAATAAATCATAACAGTCATTTGTCTGATGGCAGAATTTTATATTGTGTAGTGCCAATCTTTTTGTATATTAAAAAAATGTACTTCAGAATATATCCCAAATGGCAAAAATTCAAATAGTAGATAGTATGTCATCTACTTAACTCTAGCAAATGAAGAACAATGTCAAGCCAATAATTTGTTGTGTATTGTATTTTCTGAAACTATTTTGATTAACTTTTTTGCATCATATTTACTCCTTACGCAAGTAAGTGCCTTCGTGAAGACATTTAGTTTGATTTTGTATGGGCACTTTGGAAAAACCCAATTCAATTCTCTATTTTATAGATATTTTGTTTGAGTAATCCTGTTAGGGACAAATTATGACTTTTGGGAAAATAAAATTTTCTGACTTTAAATAGTATTTAGTAAATTGATATTGGTGCATCAGTTATACCTGTTATGACTGAAAATACAAATACCCTTTATAAATATCTAGCTTATTTACAGGGAATAATTTACTCACTTGACCACATAGTTCATACTACTGTGCCATTATGTTCATGTCCCTTAGACTTGTTAATCTGCTAGCTACAAACATTTTTAAACTTAGTTTTATTTCTAGTTTAAAAGAGAGCCAGTAATATCTACCATTCTATCTCATTTTGATCTTCTGCATTGGAATATGTAGTTAATAAATAGTAGTTGGGTGGGGGTACTTGAGTAAACCCTGGCATTACATTAAAATGAATGTCACCATTGTAGACATGTTATAGGCTACTTTTAAGATTTTTAACACTACCTTTCTAATTTAGTTAGCACCGATTTTCAAATGATGTAGATTCTTATGTAGACTTTATCTTATATACAGCTTCACCATGGAAAAGAAAATAAACCAGAGAGAAATTAAAGGGCTTTCTTCATGATAGTTGTATCTTGTTAATTTGGGCTTGAGTTTACTTTTGAATTATCTTTGAAAAAAGCTATGTCAAATGAATTAAAAGTACAGTGATACTATATATCAAAACCGAACAACTATTTCTATAAGAGGCATATTTTTAATTTATGGATTAATCAATATAGTGGTAATAAGTCATTAATGTGGATCTCATATAACTTTATAAGGACTTTTATTAGGTAACACTTTTTCCTCATTTAAAAATAAAGTGACTTCTTTAAAAGTTAATCGTTTAGACATTTTATAATTTAGACTTTTACTTCATTTGAATAATTATTTTACATTGTATCCTCACTTAACTTTATATAACTTACCATATGGATTAGTTAATGGCAATGATATATAACTAGGCCTCTGCCCTCCAACTTTCCCACTATATCTATTTGCCATGACAGGTTTATTTACTGAGACTATCTAGTTTATATCTAGCATGCAACAGTAGACATTTCACCTGCCCAAAGTAAATGTTGAGCTTTTTCAGTTTTAGAAAAGGATGATTAATTTCTTCCTTTTTTGTGAACACTGTATTCCTTTTCATCCAGACTCTTGCCGGGATTAATAAATATACACACATATAAATATACGTATACAAATATGTGTGTGTGTATATGTGTATATATATATGTAGATATTTTTGGTTTTGTTTTTGGGTTTTTTTACACAAAATTTGGGGATAATCATATGCAATTCAGATTTAAAGATAGCCTACCACTGGAATCCATGACTCTGTAAAAGATTTCATTGAGTGAATTAATTTTTGCAGATTAATATTGTAAGTCATGACAGTTCTTTCTTCTCCCTTGCTCCTCAGGACACTTATTGCTGAAAATGTAATTAGGCTATCGCTACAGTTTTCAGCCTGTCAGCTTCTATTGCAACTGAAATGAAATCTGCTACATACTAAAAGAGCCACTTGAGAGAACTCTGCTGTTTCTAAAGCATTTGAAAATTTCCAACAGGAGACAGAATGTTAGAAAGTTTTGAGGTTTCCTTGCTATTGATTGCCTTAACAAATGTTTTCTCATTTTTCTAAAGTGGCAGTGTGGTATGGTGGAAAGAAAGTGGGTTTTAGAGTTAGTATTGGAATTTTTAGAGGTATACCTGCTAGACATTATATTAGGTGCTTCACTTACTTCCCTGTTCTTTGACTTCCAGCTCTCTCTCACAAGCTTTGTGGTCTTAGATAAGTCACTTGATTTCTCCAATTTTCAGTTTGTAAAAAAGGTTATAAAATGTTTCCTCTCCCAACTCGTAGAATTAGATTAAATGAAATAATGGGTCTGAAAAGTGCTTTGTGAACTTTAAATTGTTTAGTAGGTGATTGATTAAAAAAATGTTAAGCAGGATATACCTACAACTAAGTAGAAGATAATAAAAGCTAAGATTTACTGAGAATTTGCCATGTGCCAGGCACTGTAAAGTGCTTTCTTTACATAGGTTATTTTATTGAATTCTTATTATAGTTTTATGGAATAGATACTATTATTTTTATTTTAAAGAGAGAGGTTAAAGTTATATAGATAGTAAATGGCAGAACTGGTATTCAAACCCATGCAGTCTGATTTTAGAACCTATGCTGTTGACCAGACACCTAGAATATTGGCTTTTCATAGGAAAACACTTGTCCATCTTGAGATTATTCTTACTAGTAGTGAACTTTTGTTGTTGTACCTTTTCTTTTGTTCTTTTAACTAGCTAAATATTTTCAAGGTATTTTCATTTAAATCTTTTACTGTTCCTCTGGATAGAAATGTTGCAAATGTTGGCGTAAACTTGCCATTTTATAGTTTCTGTTTCTCCCTTAGTAATCTTTTAATGTAAATACAACTTTGTAGAGGGATAAAGAACCTCCAAATACTTAGTAATGTTTTAATTTCTTTTGGCAGCATTTTCATTAGGTAGAGAAAGTGAAAACTTTAATAATAGTTTATATTACTATTATTTTGCTAAATCTGCTAAAGTCTTTTTTTTTGTTTGTGTTTTGTTTTTCTATTTGTGAGGAAATCTACCACTGTCGAAGACAGATAAAATACAGCAAAGACAAGATGTGGTATTTGGCAAAATTGGTAAGCTAAAATGACCATTACTATATAATACTTAAGAAAAGAACCCCCCAGAATTTGAAAAATCAAAAGGATTTGCCCTGATTTTTCCAAAAAGTGAGGAATGTGTAGTTACATGTTCAGACAATTGGTAGGTAATCAAAGGAATGATTCCTCAGAAATGTATGATTTTGCTTAATTTTTACCTTTTTTCTGAGAAATTAAATCACATTGGATAGATAGGTATTTAAAACAAAGGCATCAGGAGTCTAGCTAAAACTAGAGAATCCAAGAAACTTACTTATCTGTAAAAGTTGATTTAATCTGTTTAGAAACTTTTAAAGTTTTTTTCCTGAAAAATGAAATTTATAGGTGAAGGGAGAAAAAGGCAGCAAATATATATGTAATAACATTTATCCTGTAATAGAAGGAGATGCCTTTTTAATGCCTTGTGTGGTCGTTTCCAACCTGTGGTCTCTCTCTGTCATGTCTGCTCTCTTTTAATGTTATTGAAACTATTACACTATTACAATCAAACTATTTAAGTTTGACTTTTGACTTAAAGAGGGCGGCGTTTGTTCTCAAACTAGTTTTCTTCTTTTTTTGCCTGGGTTTAGTTCACTGTTTTTAGAAGTTATTCAAATTATGTAAGGCTGTTACTTTTCATTGAAAAGAGAACATTGACTTTGTAAACTAATTTGTTTGTTCTGTCCTGTCATCCTTTAATTCTAGATACGAGGAATGTCCATTAACCAAGCTTTGGCTCAGTTGGAATTCAGTGACAAAAAAGGGGCTCAAATAATTAAGGAGGTAAACTTGTACGATTGGGGTGGGGAGATGGGGCGGACATCCAGCTGTCTTGCGGATGTTAGTAAGCTTAGCCTAAATTCTGAATTCCATGAATTTTCTGATGTAAATGCATACTTTATATAATACAGATTTAGGGCATTCAGTTTTATTAATGTCTTTGTGCCTCAGGAATGTGGTATGCTGTAGGCAATTTTTTTTTCCTGAGATGCTTTCATTTACACCAAACATTTATTTATTTTTTATTGTCTGTCTGTGAAGATAAATCTTATTTTTAATGATTTGGGGCTTGGTATATTTTTTAGAAGATTTTTTTTTTTTTTTTTTTATCAATTCCATAAATGACAGCTTATGATTTTATAACTAGTTGAGTGGAAAGAGCACTGGACCGGAACTCAGGAAACTTGGTGGCTAGTCCTTCCTCTCATATCTTTCTTGTGACCATGGGCAAGACATTTAACCTGTCTGGTTCCATTTTTCTCATCTATAAACTATGTGGGATTGGATTAGGTGATATCTAAAGACCCTTCCAGTTCTGAATGTAGCTGATTCACTAGGTGCAAATGTGTTAATGATTAATAGTGCTGACTCATTCTAGGCACATGAATTGTTCTTGTTTCAAAAAGCTGTGTTGACTATTGTCACTTACCATCTGGGGATATCAGCATCATTTTCTGTATCTTCAGTTAATTCTCACTTAAGGTCAGTTCTTATCTTTCAGTTTAGTAGTTGAACAGTTGAGATTGATGGATTTAGTCTTTAAGAGGTTCCATTGTAATGCTGTGGTTTTACTATATTTAATTCAAGCCAGAATGCATTTACTGAGTATCTGTTGTATACCCAGACTTGTACTAGGTTCTTTATCTTTAAAGGGGTAAAAGATCTGGTTTCTGTTATTTCTGACAATTGTCCTATTTTTTAAAGAAGTGGAGGAAGTTAATTTGAAATATCTATGGAGAGTAAATTTAATTAACTTCTTAAAGGAAATTTCCCCGTTATGATTTTCTGTACTTGTCTGATGTTGTTAATGGTTACTTTTGATCCAAGGTTTAAGAATTTTCAATAATATATAACTCTTGAGTTTCTTGAACTTTTTGACAACTCTCTGACTCAAAGTCATAATATTCCTTACCAAGGGTACTGCTTATGAGTGTTGCTATCTCTTTCACAGCTAACACATGCCATTTAAAACTTAGCCAGATGGACTGTCTTCCCTGCATTTGTAATTCTTATCTGAGAAAGAAAGCTCCCTTTTCCTTATTACTCTTATCACTTGATATTCTCTTTGTAAAATTGACTAGAAAATGAAGGCATGTGATTAGCAGTCATATTACAGAGATAACAAAAGACAAGAAATTTAATTTCACTTTAGTTCAGGGTTAGCCCTATAAATGCCTTTTTTTTCCTTGTTTAAGATTCTCTTAGAAGCACAAGATATGGCAGTGAGAGACCACAATGTGGAATTCAGATCCAATTTATATATAGGTAAGATTTTTAATATTCTTAGCATTTGAAAATGTCTTCCATTTTCTTCCAATGTTCTTTATTTAACAGCAGTCTTTGATATCTAATTATTTAGGACTGGGTTTGCCAATGAAAATTGCTGGTAGTGGCTTATTCTTTACCTTTAAGCATGTCAATCTGTTATAAATGGTAATAACTACACTGTTCTATTATTACTGTTACCAAGACCCCAAAGGTCCTTTTGCTTACCTGCCATTTAGTAGCCAAGAGAGACAAAGAAAGGTAGCTTTTAATCAGGAAGCTGACAGACTGGGGAAATGGTGGTCTTATGTCTCAAAGACCATCTCCGACTCTCCCAGGCTTGTCAAAGGGTTTTATAGGTGTTGGGCCCATTTTTAGGAGCAAACATTATCTGTGAGCCACATGGTGCCTATGGGTGGAGGATGAAGATGGCGCCCACGGGAAGTAGGGGAGGCATAACCCAAGATAGCTCCAAAAGGTTTTTATTGGTCCCCCAGTATTTCCACACTCGTGAACCTTGCGTGATTGCTATGCTCAACATGTTAGCACAAAATGCATGACCACGTGATCCTTTAATTGATTGGTTAGTTCATGGAAAGCCCCTACTTGCTTGCTTATATAAACTGCAGTGTAATGGCAATAAAGTGAAACCGCCCCGACAGGCTGCATCTGTGTGTCTCTTTCACAGGGCTGGGTTGGCAGGCAGCAGGCTCACTTTTCCCTGAGATCCCTCGGTCCCAGCACCAGGGGTAATCCTGTCGGCTCCTTCTCCTTCTGGGTCTGCGGGAGGACCCCAGGTGTGGCCCCGCATATAGGGGTCTGTGGTGGAAAGCTGATTCATAGTGACCAAGCAGGGACATGCAGACATGCTTGAGTGTTTCAGAAAATCATCAAGGAACTTCCTGTGTGGGAGGTGACCAGCATCATACTTCATTCTCCATAGGTTCAGTTCCTGTTATTCTCAAATAAGTTCAGGTTAATAAGCTAGTAAAGAATGGCCATCTGGGTTAATAATTTTTCTCTATTTGCCCAGAATTATTGGAAGGGATGAAATGGATGAGGGGCAAGATCATTTGCTTAAAACCTCTTGGTGACCTTTCTTGCTCTATGACACTGAATATCAAATTAAATTTAATTAATTTTATTCGGTTTCATAGGAATATGGCGTTCTTAGCTGATAGACTTTATAATGGAATTCATATACAAATGAAATAGGGTTTGTCATTAAATCTGTTTCAGTAACTGTCTTTAAGTCCTTTTCAGTAATGTTAGTAAAGAGAGAGAGGGTAAGGAGCTTAATCCTGTCATCCCAAATGACTAAGCTAGGTCCAATGTTGCTATTAAGCAAGAATATACTTAACCAGTCCTACATAAATGGGTCTTTAATTAAGAGGCCTTCTTATGCACATTTCTGCTTTACCTACACTGTTTTCATGTAGTTCTGTGTAAAAATCACTTTTCTTAAGTAGGGCTAAGTTTGGATTTGTCTTATGATTTTAAAAAATTTTCATTCACTAATTATTGTGATGCCTAATTCCATAGTCAAAAGAGATAAGAACCCTTAGGAAGATGAAATATCTTACTATGACATGACAGACATTTTATCCCTGTATTTACCAAACTTCCTCAATAAGAATCATCTAAGATTCTTATTAAAAATACAGATTCACAGGCCTCACCACAGGCCCACTGGATCTGAAACCCCAGAGGAGGGGTCTGGGAAGCTATTTGTTTAGTAAGTTCCCTAGTGGTTCTTACCCATAAAATGTGGGAAACTGATTTATTTCATTGTTTTCTTAGAAAAGGCCTAGACATTTTATTCTGTAGTCTTCTATTAGAGTTTTAAAAGACTAGTGCCTTGTTGGCTACCATTTCAGTTCAGCAATAGCTCTTTCAGTACTGGAAAGTACTTTTTTGATAGCGTATGTTCTCATTATATGGTAATTCCTTCAAATGCCTGTCATCGGTCTAAAGCTAATACCTAGTGTTGCATGACCACAGATTTAGAAAGTTCATTTCCTTTTTAAACTTACAATGATGACTTATGATACTGTGACTAGGCCATAACAAGTGGACATGGACTAATACAATGTCACTGCTTAGTGGGTGATTCATGGCATCTAAAGTGATTCACTTTAGAGAAAGTGATCGACTGGGGTTTTGTACATGTTATGGAGGTGGAGGGCTTCTAATGTTAAAATTTCAAGATTCCCATTTACCTACGTACTAGTAACAGGAAATTTTGACAGTATTTTAACTACATGGTACCTGTTGGGCATTATCTTTGGAAGAGCACAGGTACTATTTTTGAGATGTCTTCATGTTTTCTTTCCTTCAAAAAGTATTTGAGTACTTACATTGTATATACTACGCACATAATTAGGTGATGGTATATCTTTTATTTCAGTGTAAAACATCTAGTATATGCAGTTTTGTTTTTTGACAGTAGTATTCCTTTGGAAGAATACATAAATTGTTCTTCTGAGCTGGAACAAAATCATGTACGTACACCATTACTATTATAAATACTTGGAAAACTTTGAAACTTATTTCAGAATTTGAGCAGATTTACCAGAGACTTCCATATTGAAAAATGATATTAATTAGCAGAGGATATATTTCAGAATCATTTCTTTTTCTTGTAGATCATGAACTTTTGAGATAATACAAAAAGTATAGGTTTGGTTGAGGAAATGGCTTTTACAGATGAAACAAGAACACATAAAGATAGCATATGATTTGGGAACAAAAAGAGTAATATACATAAGTGGTATTGTTGGAGTAGAGAGGAAAAGGTCAAATGGGCTAGAATAGTCAGAGATTTTCTAGAAAAATTTGGCTTTTATGGATAGGTTTTTGGGGATCTGGAGGAATGTCCAGGAGAAGAGCAGATTTTCAAAGTGAGGTAACTGCATAAGCAAAGGCCACATTGGTTAAAGTAAGCAGTAATTGGGTTGGGTCTAGATTCCAGAAGCCTGAACATGGAGAGCTATGACATATGGTTCAAATTGTATTGAAGAGGTTTGGGCAAGAGATTTATGTTATTAAGGTAGTGTTTTAAGACTATTAATCATAAGCAGTGGTTTTGAAATTGTGCTCTGTGGGGCCCTTGATATCTTGGTCACTGCTGTGTTCTTGAAGCTCAGGATAGAGCCTGGCACTCAGTAGAAACTCAGAAATATTTGTTGAGTGAATGAACAGTACAGTTTGGATCTTACCCCACTCATGTTTCAATCTGAACAGATCCACATGACAGTGTTTTATATATTGGGCTTCAACATATTGTTTTCATTTTAATTGGAATGTTCCACATACAAAAGCAGTTTTTGAAATCCCTAACATTTGGGATTAGTGGAGGAGAGATTGGAGGAGAGGAGGACAGAAACCAGATTGGAAGCCTGATTTCATTCACACCTCAGGGGGGCTATGTTGGGTATTCCCATTACAGTGTATTCAAGAATCCTGGTGTTTCTGAAGAATTAATGTTTTTGTTTTGACATAAGGAAATTATGGCATCATGTGCTATATAAGATAGGCAGATTATCTTTTATGGCTTTAGGATGAAATCATGACTGGCTTTTAGCAGGTATTGAGCTCTTCTGCCCTTGTGCAGATCCCCATAGTTTGTGTTTTGGGGGAGATGGAAGGCAAATCAGAGTTGACATAGATCCTGATAGGATTGATCATTTTATTTTGTAGGCTATATAGTGCTGCACAGGTAGCTAGTTTTGATACTTCTTTCATTGGAGTAATGTTCCTTATCCTCGGAGTATTTGGAAATTGGTGCTCAAGTTGGGTAGAGTGGAAATTTAAGATAAAAGCAGCCATTGTGTTTGTAAAATGCTTTTTAGAAGTTTTCTACTCTCTTCCCAATCTCACCATTTGTATTTGTAGTTTTCTTCTTGACAGGTTGATTCAGGGAACCTGGTGGTGCTTCATTATAGTGTGATTTGTGTAATGCTGGTTTCTTTTTGGAAATTCTTAAAACTCGTTTCTTTAGTGGCCAGTAGATGAAGTTGATAAGAAGGCAGTTGTTCTTTCCTTATGTCACTGAGACAGACCCTAGGCAGTTTTCTTAATCACTTTCATCCTTAGCTTTCTTTTTGGCAAAGCTAGGATACTTCTGCTGAAATCCACCTCACAAAAGGATATTAGAGGGTTGACAAGGGTGTACTTTGATATAGTCCCTAAATTTATAGTTATACCATAGTAGGAATATAAGAATGGTGATTTCCTGTGGGTGAACAGGTGAACGTGTTTCTTCTTATGTACTATTTGAAAGACTTCTTCAAATTTTCAGTTAGACTTTGATATGCAGAATGAGGGGAGGAGGTTGGGGGGAAGTTGTGATGCAAGAGTTCCTAAAACTGGCTGTGAATCAGAATTTCTGGGGGTGGTGGGAGTGGGGGTGTTTGCTAAGAATGTAATTTCCAAGTCCCACCCCAAATATATTAAATTCGAATCCCCATGGATGGGGTCTTAGCATCTTCACTTTAAATATATTCTGTAGGTTAGTCTGATGTAGGTGGTCTGAGGACCAGCATTTGGGAACCATTGGCTCCAGTGGCTTCTCATCACAATTAGAATGAAATCAAAGCTCTTTGCCTTAGCCTATAGGGCCCTATATAATTTTGCCCCTGCCTTCATCTTTGATCTCTTTTCCTGTTGGTACCAGTCTTCCCCTTGATTACTGTGCTTCAGCGTGCTAGTCTTTCTTTTCCTAAAACAAGCCAAATACATTACAACCATTGGGCCTCTGCACTTGCCATTCCCTCTGCCTGTAATACCCTGTCTCTAGATATTTTTGTGGATGATTCGTTCTGGTTTTAGGTCTAATATGTCTTCCTTGGGGATACCTCCTGAGACCTCCAGTCCAAAGTTGCTCCCAGCACTCCATCAATCTCTGTCACATCACTGCGATTTATTTTATTCATAGCACTTGTCACTAACTGAAATTATCATTTTATTTCTGTCTTTCTCCTTCAGAATGTAAACTGCAACGATGCAGGGGACTTGTTAGTTTTGTTCACTCTTGTTTCTCTAGCACCTAGAATAGTGCCTGGTCCTTAGTTAGTACTCAAGAAACACTTGGTTTGAGACAAGCCTGCTCTAGGCAACCAGTGAGCTCATGTAATCTTAGAATCTGGTCAAGGAAAGAACAGAAATTGCTCAGCTGATCAAGCTGTAGTCTTATGGATAGCAGTCATTTCCGATAATTCTCTTTTTCTTCCCTGTCTAGCTGAGTCCACCTCAGGGCGGGGCCAGTGCCTGAAACGCATCCGCTACCACGGCAGAGGTCGCTTTGGGATCATGGAGAAGGTTTATTGCCATTATTTTGTGAAGTTGGTGGAAGGACCCCCTCCTCCACCTGAGGCACCAAAGACGGCAGTCACCCACGCCCAAGAGTATATTCAGGAGCTTCGCAACCGGACCATCATTCATACTCTATGATGGGAGAATTCAAACTCCACAGTGTATATATTTTGCCATTTCTTTTCTAAAACAAACAAATATTAAAGACAGATGTATTTTATGATTTGTCATTGAATTATTGAAACACAGTATATAACTGCTAGTTTTATATGAATATTTATAAGGCTTTGCTCATCTCTGAGCCTCCGGGCATATTGTATGCATTTGCAACTTGGAAAGGGAAATCAGCCTTAAACATAATAACAGCCTATAATTCAGAAGGCTAATTTTGAGTACCTTTTCAAGGAGTGTTAACTTTCCAACTAGTGTCCTGTAGGTGGCAGTTTTGATACTGGAATTGAATAGAATGTTATGGGATAAGAAACCTTGTCCTTATTTCACTCGATTTTCTCTTGCAACCAGGGGAAGGTGTGCTGGAGGTGAGCATGACTGCATGTTGTTTTATTGCAATATTTTAGGGCATTAAGCAATTCTGTTTTTCCTTTTACTGTTGGCAAAGGCCAGTGGGTGAGGGAATATATTTTCTTTTATGGTTTTAGCAGTAACATGAAATTACAGGAGTTTATTAGATATACTAATCTAGTACTCCAAGAACCCTTTAACTTTGAAAGTTTTCTTCTAGTTAAATAAAGCCTATTTTCATGTCTCCTTCCAGCAATGTTTTCTATTGTTTGGATATCTTGTTTAGGACTGATTCATTTTTCAAGGTGAATTCAATTACTGAGAGAGGAATTGAACTAGCCTCAGCATTGCATTCTAAAATACAGCAGTAGGTGGCACTTACCTCTTGTTAGCGGAAAATTGTTAGTATCAAATTAGCATGTTCAACACTACCTGGCTCTCATTGATACATGTTTTCATTGACAAGAAGCATTCTTTGTCCACAGCCTTAGTCCAATGTTTCTCAGAATTTTGTATTCAAAGGAAGAATTTGGGGTGCTTGCTTGTTAATGCAGAACTCTGGGTCCTACCCCAGTGTTTCACCAGGTCTTATGAAGGACTAGTTCCAGAACTCTGTTTTAAACAAGCACTTCCAGGTGACTTTGTTGTAGGTTTGTTTGTTTGCTACACTTTGAAAACACTCCTCTAGTAGAATGAAGAGTGTAGTTTTAGTGCCATGTTTTAAGATGGCGTTGATAATAGCTCCTTTTTACTAGAATCCATTCTGGGTCCTAAGCTGTTGTAGCATGGAGTCATGGAAATAACACTGGAGTGGTAAAAGGCCACCTTCATTTTAGTCCTTGCATGCTCATTAGCCAGAAAGAAGACCCTGGGCAGGTCCCTTCCCTTGTTGACCTCCATTTCATTTATCTATAAAACCAGAGGCTCAGTGTTCTCTATAAACAACCTTCAGAATCACTTGAAGGATCTGCTAAAAAATGCAAGTTCCTGGGCCCTACTCTCAGACTAAGTGAATCAGAAGCTCTGATTTGGGAGACCAGGGAACCTGTGCTTTTAGCAAATGCCACGGTGATTTGCATATTGGAGAATCAGAATCACCATACTAGAGGATTTCTGTGCTTTCAGTGAAGATGCTCCATGATTCTTATTCTTAGCCTTGGAATTTTGACTTCCTGGGTATGTGACTAAAACAAGCCAGGTGGTGTTATGGACTCCATAACTATAAATTATGTAAATTAAGGTACTGCTTCAATAAGGTTATTGAAGCTATTTTGAAAGACGTAAGGGAAAAACGGACCTTGGATTCTAATGAAGACAATTTGCTTGTGATTTAAGGTTAAGCCTTCATTTGGAACTGTTTATTGTGTGTTACGAATTATAGTAACAGTTAACATGTAGCACTTACTATGTACCTGGTACTGTTTTAAGCACTTCATATACACTGCCTGAATTAATGAATCTTTCCCATTGTGACTTTGGGGCAGAGTACATCTTGTTAGTTTCTGTGGCTGAGAGTGCACTTTCTAACATAAATGAATGTTTTGGTCCCAATTTGAAGTTTAACTTTACTTGTTCAGAAACTATTATCTATTATTATTTAATGGCAATGTCCGAATGCTTGTAATTTCTTTCTTTCTTTTTCAAAGAACTATGATAGACTCAAACTTTTTTGGAGTGTAGCACATTCAGAAAGCACACCAGTCATAAGTATACAGCTCAATAAATTGTCAGCTGGTGAACATGCCCAAGTAATTCCCATCAGGTCAAGAAATAGAACATGAATAGCAACCCTGAAGTCCCTTTCATGCCCCCTCCCAGTCACTTCCCACTCCCTTCTATTCAAAGGTAACTATTGACTACTAAAATATGATAGATTTTACGGAAATATGGTCAGCCTTTGTTTTTTTCAACTCAACATAATTTTTAGGGCAACCATTATCTGCCTGGTGCTGAGGATACAGGGAATAAATAGAGTAAACACAGCCCCTTCTGCATGGAGCTCACTCTGACGGGCAAGACAGACTGTAAATAAGTCTTCACAAGTGTTTACTGTGCTGAGTGTTATGAATTCAGAGGAACAGGATGCTATGGGAGCAGACATCAGGGGTCCCTAATAAAGTAGTTACTATTTTGGGGGGAGTTTATTTCCTTAAAGAGATACAATGAGGGGAAAGGGTAAAAAATGACAAATATATGAATCAGTAGAGAGTTATGCTATCAAAATGCCAACATTAAGACTACTTTGTCCTTCCACAAGTTAAAATCTGTGTGGGATGTGAGATGTAGTGTAGGGTATATACTACCTTGGAGCCAATTCAGATACAAGAAATTTTATAAAGCTCTAGCTCAGCCTGAGGGGAAAGATGTGAAATGTACTGCAGACATTGCAAAATAAAGTGGATGTGTTTCTCTGTTAGCAATTAAGAGTAATTAGATTTTTTCCATGCATTTTAATACAGAGGTTGTAATAATAATTTTAATTTATGAAGAGAGCCTCAATCACACTTGTGGGTATAAAACAGGAGATGTTTCTGGAGCAGGTGAGCATCCATACATTCCAAAGCAGGAGAAAGTTGCATAGGGGACATTAACACTTCTAGAAATGGGCTCCTCTTCTTAAGCCTATGTTCCTGATATAACTCTTTAGGATCAGATCTCTATTTTAGAGAGAAGCTCAAAGCTTTATTCCTAAACCAGCCTACTGTGGATTCTGTTAATGTATAATTTAGGATATATCTGTCATGGTATTACAAATACTTTGAAAGGAAATATTGGTAGGTGAATTATACTTGTGAACTAAAATATTTTTTCACTGTTGTTATTAATGGCATGGTAAAATATTTATTGAGTGCTTACTCTGTGCCAGCTACAGCTGTAGATGTTTTACGTAAATTGTATGAGTTAGTAGCAACAAAATGAATTATGAGGTAGGTACTTTGTTATTCCCATTCTGTGGATGAGATTACCAAACTTGCCCAAGGTCACAAATATTTTTTAAAATTAACGAGATTTAGTATTTGCATAAATAAACAAACTCCTTAAAATGTCATTTCACATTGCCTGTGTAGTTATTCCAGTACTATATGTAGTTTATAGACTTACAGCAACAATGTGTTCTTTGTACCAAAGTTATTTTCAGATAAAGTTTCATTTTCTTGCTTTGGTATTCTTACTTGGGATGGTTTCTAAACAATAAATCCACTAGTCTCTTATTCTTCTATCAGTGGTGGTAGTCCTGAGCACCTTTCATTCCTCCGAAGGTCACAAAGTTCAGGATTGGGTCACATAGTTCAGGATAGGGTTACATAGGGTTACGAAAGAGGCATGAGATAGAAAGCAGGACTTGGCGTATGCTCAGTTTCTATTGTTACCAAATAATTGCTTGTTTTCATTTGAAAGTCATCTCTGAATGTGTTCCTCATAACTTAAAACTTCTTTTCATACCCTTGTCTTCAGTGGTCCCTTATAGGCTTACCAATGGAAATCTGTTTCCCTTATCCTTATAGGTCACTGATGTTGTTGTTGTTTTTTTTTGTCATAGGGGAAGGGACAGTAAGCAAAAACAGCTCTGTTGTTTAAGATTCTTTTTTCTTTTTTTATGGCTCAGTTGATATTATTATTATTTTGGTCACAAAACAAGTCTTAATATATTTAAAAAGACTAAGATCATAGAAAATATGTTCTCTGACTGCCATAACAGAAAAAAATTTAGAAAATTCACAAATGTGTGGAAATTAAACAACACTGTCCTAAATAAACAATGGGTAAAAAGAAAAATCATGAGGAACTTAGAGAGTACTTTGAGATAAAAATCAAAGTGCAATGTATCAAAATTTATAGGATGCAGGGCTCATGCAGTGCTTACAGGAAATTTAATATTTGTAAACTCCTATATTAAAAATAAGAAAAATCTCAAATCAGTAATGTCAACTACTACCTTAAGAAAATAGAAAGCAAAAGAAGAGCAAACTAAACCAAAAGCAAATTTAAGTAGGAAATAAAGATTACAGCAGAAATAAATGAAATAAGGATATTAAAAACAATAGAGAAAATAAACCTCAAAGTTGATTCTTTAAAAAGATCAACAAAATTTGCAAACCTTTATCCAGACCAACCAAGAAAAAAGGAGAGAAGACCAAAATTACTAAAATCAGAAATAAAGCAGGGGCATTATTACATTGTCATTACTGGTTTTTATGGGGATAAAATTTAGTTTCTTTTTCTTTCTCATTTGCGTTTTTGTTCTACCTGTGGATTTTGTTCTTTCTTGTGTTATTTGTGGTAGTGATTATCATTTTCCAGATTCCAGGTGCAGGACTTCCTTGAGGATTTCTCATAGGACTGGTTTTGTTGATGGTGAACTCCCACAGTTTTTGTTTATCTGGAAAATACATTGTTTCTCCCTCATTTCTGAAGGATAGCCTTGCTGAGTATATATAGCATTCTTGGTTGGCAGTTTTTACCCTTTAATATATCATCCCACTTTCTTCTGGCCTGTAGAGTTTCTGTTGAGAAGTCTGCTGTTTGTCTGATAGAGGCTTCCTTATAGGTGACTTGATGCTTTTCTTTTGCTTCTTTTAAGATTCTCTTTTTGTCTTTGAGCTTTGCCAGTTTGACTGTAATATATCTTGGAGATTTTTTTGGGTTGAATCTGTTTGGTAATCTTTGAGCTTTGTGGATCTGAAGGTCTGTTTCCCT